TATTATAATAGATGGTGCATGTGTCTGATCTAAATAATTCTGTAGAAAAGATATGAATGAGAATGATTTTCTCACAGTGTGAAGATGTGTTTGACAGGTTTCAATTATACCTTTGTCAGAAATACGCGATATAATTGAAACCAGTGAAATACATCTCTTACACTGTAAAGATATTAATTTCCAGTCATACTTTTCTTACATTTGTTGCAGTAAACATGATTCATCATTTTGTAGTGTCTAGTATATTTAGATAATTTGGCATAATAAATTGGGAAGTCTTACATTTAGAATGCATTAGTGTTTTTTTCATCAGTTTGTAATTTGTTTATCTAATAATTTAGGAATACTAGAACTATGTCCATTATCTTCATCTAGCAAGTTTTGATAGATATAATGTTTTCATTAATTTTTTTTTTTTTCAGGTGTAAATACTCTGATTAAATAAGGTTTCAACTTTTATTTTCATCCAATAGTTTCTGAGCATTATTGACTGAAGAGGCAAATATCTTTTAACTCGGTAACTGAAACTCTCAAAACAATGAAAATTAAGCTTCTGAAATATTTGAAACCTTGTAGCAACCATGTTTAGAGAAGAAATAAATTGTTTAATGTATTGTATGTTTACTTTTTTTAACTGTGAAGATGATAAGTCTACTTCAGATTTTTTCTGAGACATAAGATAACTGACCACTAACTCCTATTCTGCAAATATTCCAGGATGAAATTGGCCTTAAGGAATGGTCGATATCTTTGAGATCTGCACACAAAATGTCGCTGGAGCTTCTAAGCAATATGGCAAAGAAGGCTGGCAGAATCTATGGGACAGAAGGGAACAACAAGCCCTCCTTCATGGCTCGTAATGGCAATGGCAACTGAGCATCGAGGATAAGGCCCAAGTGGACAAGTGTGCTGTGTGTTATTATTTTGACCAACCACGATTCTCAAAAGAACCAGAAAACTGTTAAGACACTGGCAAACATCTTCCTCATTATTCATGTACAGAGTTGAAATAACTTCCATGAGTGAAGATCTGTTTGGTAACCAGGGTTATTCCTTGCACAAAATTTAATGTCATCTGGTCTTTCTTCAGCACAGAAATATTCAATTAATGAGTCCTACAAATAAAACACAGGTGATCTTGAAAGTAAACTGTGATTAGATTAAGAATAATCTATTCAGAGTGAAGGACAATTCATAGGTTATTTTTGTCCCTAGGCTTCATGATTCTAATGTCCTGTAGAGAGCTTCTTGGTTCATGTATGAGAAAACAGTCATTCCATCTGGTTTCATAGAACCCTTTGAAGTTTGTGATATAGATTCTCAAGAAATACTTTTTTAACAGTGAGTCTTTTATGAAGATGTAACTTATGGTGCATTGGTGAAAACAAAGAGTTCAGTCAGAAAAGGAATAAAAGGAATTTACCTATTTTCTTGGATTGACTGTACATTTAGCTTGATAATGTAATGTTGCTACCCTCTGCAGTTGTGTACATTTATGTGTCTAAAGGAAAGGGTTCAAGATTTAAAATCATACCATGCCTATCTCATGTTTCATAGGCTGTAGTAAGACTGGGATACATGTAGGTGGAAAGATAACCATGTAACAGTTCTCCTGTTGCTTGTTGTACTCCAAAGGATACTTTGATCCTCATTGTTCATTTGATGTAAAGAAATGAGGTGGAGTTAATCTTTGGACTTTTTAAGTGTTCACAGCTCTATTTTTGTGCCAGATGATAGGAATGAATCTTTAGGATTAACTGTTACACTGACACTGTGATGTCTTACTAAGTGAGTGTGAGATGAGATGTGGGATTAACTTAATGTGTTGCCAGTGACAACATGAGCAGTAAACCCCTATGGTGGACCTGTTGCCAGCTTCTCTTGTTGACACTTTGTCAACTTTGGTGTTGGTAAAAAAAAATTTCCATGTTTGTGGTGTTTGTGTTTCCTTCATTTGTGTGCACGTCATTGTGCTGCTGTGAGAGTGATTTATGTACATGCATCATCTCAGTAACACATAAGATTCTTTTAAGATTTTACTTGAACAGTTACAGTAAAGTGGTACTGCAAGGTGCATCCGAACATGTACGCACAACCTTCCTCAAGCAGTGTTGGTGGACCTTGTGCACCAAACTCTATGCTTGTGATGATTATTTAGTGCAGTTTTCCTGTACTATTTAGCAAATACATTTTGATCCTTGTGATAATTGTGCATTTTCCTGTCATGGTGTCAACTGTGAAGCTGTGCAGTACTGTTCAAGTGAAGTACAATATCCATGGCGGGAATGACTAATGTGTATATTGTCAAGTTTTGTCAGGAAACTGGTCACAAGGCTTCCTCCTTATCATACTTGGAAGGAAATCAGGAACGGGAAAACCTCACATTTTTTGACTATTATATATCCTATCTGGCATGTGAAGTGTCTTATATGCACCTTAATACTATATAATTTTCATTGTAATTATGAAAACGTTATTAAATAAATGATGATTTTATTAA